GGGTGGAACAGGGTGTGGCTGGGAGGCAGGGAGCACTCACTGAGCATGCCTGTGTGCTGCCTCCTCTGAGCAGCTCACAGACAGACTCATGGAAACCCCACACCCGCCTGCTCAGATCCAATTTAAGCAGCACAAACTCCAACCTCCCATTCCCAGTTGGGAAGGGAACTTTATAGCACCTTGCGGTCATCCAAAAGTCCAACATTAGCAACTCATTTTGGTAAACAGACACCTTTTAAAAATTGCCAACACCCTGGGAGTGCTGGGCCCATCGATTACTCACACTGTCCTCTCCACTAGCCTGAGCTACAGCAGGCATGGGGCAGTCAGGGACTAGTGAGTGACTAGGGGAGGCCTGCGGGGCCATCGGAGACAGGGGCTGGGTGTGGACAGGACTGCTTTGCCGGCTGCAGCCACAACCCTGTGCCACACTCCCCTGGAAACCACCTTGGGTGAGTGGCTAGGAGTGACCTCCAGGAAGGCCTTGTCCTCAGAGGACACTGAGTGTTCTCTAGTGAGGACACTAGTGTCAACCAACTAACTAAACACTTATTGAGTAACAGAGTCCAGTTTACAATGTATCCTCTCCACCTCCAGCCCACCGCAGCCTCAGGTCTATTGGGGTCACTTCTGTGGCCCCATCTATGAGATGCAAGAGGTGTTCACCACATGTTTAATAAATGGGTGAAGGTACTGTGGGAGCACTCCTGCCCGTGTACACACAGAAATCCTTCTGTGTGGGGAATACCTTGTAGAGTGCTACCTCATGTGATCCTCAGCAGGGGGTAGGACACAGCATCCAGGTTTAAAGAGGAGTCTGAGGGTCAGAGGGGTTCCCAGTGAGTCCATAAAAGCACGGAGTCAAGCAAGCTGACTGACTCCTTAACTGGCTGGGGGATCCTTGCCTGAGCGCAGAAACAACTCCACCTGAGACCCCAGCCCAACACAACCCAAGGGGCTGTAGGTTCCAGAAACTAAGCCCATTTGTCCCCAGGCCACCTTCTCTGCCCCTCTCTGCGCAGAGCAAAGAACCCTTCCTATGTCCCACAAAAATTCTCAGGCATGATTTTGAGGAGGGCACTTCCAACAACAAAGGAAGTTCCTCCTTGGCCCCTCTCCTATCTGGCCCTCCAAACTAGCCCAGCACCCTCCTGGGGCAGCCCCAGGCAAATCAGCTGTGGCCCTGCCTGGAGGTGCCCCAGGCCTGTAATCCCCACCAGCTACATATCACAGCTGGAGCCCCAGGTTGCAAAGTCTTCTTGAGGTGAGTGTGAGTGGTGGGAGATTCCAGATGCCGCTCAGGCTGTGTTTTTTATTTTTTTTATTTTTTTTATTTTTTTTATTTTATTTTTTTTATTTCAGCAAATTATGGGTGTACATACGTTTAGGTTACGTGAGTTGCCCTTGGTCCCCCCCCCACCAACCGAAGTCCGTGTTTCAAATATGACCATCCTTCAGGTAGTGCGCATTGCACTCCTTGTGTATACAAATACCCGTCCCCTCCTCCCTCCTCCCTCCTGCCCCCTCCTCCCGCCGCCCTTCCCGTGGTACAGATGATTAGGTTAGGTGTGTTGCCCTTGGTTCCCCCCCCCACCGAAGTCCGTGTTTCAAATATGTCCATCCTTCGGATAGTGCGCATTGCCCTCCTTGTGTATACATATACCCCTCCCCTCCTCCCTCTTCCCCCCTCCACCCACCACCCTCCCCCTTCCCCAGCATCCAATAGATGTTATTCTGATATGTGCATTTATGTGTTGATTAGTTAATACCAATTTGATGGTGAGTACAAATGGGACCCGTTCTGCTGCTCTTGTGGTGCTCCACTTTGGATAATGGGCTTAAGTTTAATCCAGGAAAGTGTAAGAGGTACTAGATCACTGTCATTTCTTATGATTGAGTAATATTCCATTGTGAACATATACCAAATTTTGATAATCCATTCATGGATTGACGGGCACTTGGGTTGTTTCCACATTCTTGCAATAGTGAATTGTGCTGCCATAAACATTCGGGTGCAGATGTCCTTATCGTAGAATGTTTTCAGGCTGTGTTTAAGCTATCTTTGGCCTGTACAATGGGGTGAGCCCTGAGGCTGCTGCCACTGCTGGATCTGGGTGAGATCCGGACTGCACCTGAGTGAACCACAGCAGAGAGTGGCCTTCAGCATCTCTGGCTCCCCGGCACAAGATTTTTCCCAGCCCATCTACTTCCTTTCCTCCAACTCAGAATCAGCCATGTCTCCAAGAAGCCCAAGTGCCTTTCAGTGGGGAGTGGTGCTTAGAAACCAAGGTCTGGGGCCAGGCATGCTCACCGCTATGGGCATGTCGCTGCTCCTAGGCTCTCTCAGCTGACACAGCTAGGGAAGGATGGTGTGCGCCCTCACATGCACACGCACATACATCTCCGCCATCTAACTTGGAAAGCGCAAGCTCACACTGACCTGCAGTTCCTCTCCAGCAATGCACGGCTCACCACACCTGCCCTTTCCCTCGTCTGTAACTCCGTCTTCAACGGTGAGAAACTTGGCTCCTGTGACCCACAGGCACGCAGGTTCGATCCTAGAACACAGAGTAGTTGCAGATCTGTTAGCCCACGCCTCTGTGCAAAAAGAGCCTGTGAATCAGAGTCCTGTGTCTGTTTGGAACAGCAGTTGCCCACGTGTGCTGTGGGGACCCCTGGAAGTCCTTCCATGGGGGTGGTGAGGTCAAAGCCGTTTCCGTAAGAGCGCCCTTTTTCTCGCGTGCTCTGATGGGTACATGGGGCAGTTTTCAGAGGCTGCGTGCCACAGCCACAATTTTCTGACAAGGCTGTCAAAGACGCCTCCCTTCTCCAACCACATAGCCACATAAAGCTGAATTCTCTTCATACACTTCAACTAACACGACATGTTTTATCAGATTAAACGTAGACACAGATATGAGAGCCCAGCTTCTACTAAGCCAGACAATAAAAAGATTTGCAGAAATGGAGAACCATTGCCACTTTTCTCACTAAGGTTTTTTATTTTGAAAAATATAGTTGTTTTCCATATAACATTATGCTATATATGTGAACATGTAATAGCCTTGTTTTACTATTCTTAAGTGAATTAATAAGTTTTCTGGACATTTCTGTTATGATTTAGAATAGGGTAAGTATCGATAGGTATAACCTATACAAACAAAAGTTCTTTGGGGTCCTCAATGCTTTTTAAGGGTGCGAAGGAGTCCTCAGACCAAAAAGTTTGAGAAGTGCTGAGTTGGAATTTGCCTTTGGCCTGAGGACCTGGAGTCTAAATTCTGTATTCAGAGCTACCTCTCTGTGGTTCTGCTGTTTATTTGAAATATAGGTTAGGTCATTTGTTTTTGTTTACATTCTATCCTTTTTGATTCCATTCATTTTCCCTCTGTCTGAATATGTGAAACATTAACAGGGTTCCCCAAATCAGAATGTATTTTGTGTAAGCTTAGAAGCTCCCTGGGTAATTCGGCTGAGCAGAGGCTTGGGAATGATTGAGTAAGATGGTCTCCACTCTCCTTCCTGCCTCCTGGTTTCCAGATCCCATGACTGGGGCTCTATAAATACTCTCCTACCATTGAGCCGGATAAACTTCAGAATCTGTTAGCATGTCCCAAAGACAGGCAGGGGCTAGAGCCCCCTCCCCTGGGGTGAGAGGGGCAACTGCTGGTGGAGAGGGCTGTGCTAGCCCTGCCTGGGGTCCTGGAGAGGGTGGCCTCTGCCTCCCTGAGGACAGCCCACTCCGACTCCCCATCTGGGAGGGATGGCCTGCGGATGCCCTCTGGCTGGCTCGCAGGGCAGACCGCTCTGCTGTTCTGTGCAGTTTTAGGCCATGAAGGGAAAGAGGCTGAAATCCAGGGCCCCAAGGGTCAGAGATGCCCCAGCTGGAAGCCCCAGGGCTTCCCCAGCCCACTGTTGACACAGGTCAGGTCACTGCCTGCCAAGGAAGGTGTAGCACTGGCTTTAATTCAGAGAAGGTGCAAACAATAACCCTGCAGCCCCCATGCCCTGGGCTGCTCCCCTGTCTAGGAGCGCAGAGCTTCCTTTAGCACCAAAGGAGGATGGGCGGTAGACACCAGGAAGGGGCTTGAGGGAAAAGGAGAGAGAGAGGAAGAGGGAGGGAGGGAGACAGAGGAGGGAGGAGTGTGGAGGGAGGGACTGACGGACAAAGAAAGGGGTGCGGCAGTGGCAGGAGGGGAGGGGTGATCCAGCCTGGGAGAATGTTCGCTCTGCAGTCAGAGTTGCTGGGAGGCGAGAGTGAGCCGCACTGGGGCAGACCTCCCTTCTCTTCCTTCCTCCCGTCCTGTCAGCCCCCCTCTGGAGGCCAGGCTGTGGGGCACCCTGCCAGAAGGAGCTGGAGCCTCTCACTGGGACAGTTGGGACTGGCCAGCTGCCCCCAACCCTCCACTGCCTGCCCTCCCGCTGCTCCTTCCTGGTGAGTACCGTGTGGTCTTCCTCCCCTGGGTGCCCAGACCCAGAGAGGGTCAGGGCCTCCTGGCGCTTTCCCCTAGGCCAGAAACCTGCAACGCCCCACGAGGGAGACCCACCCTGGGACTGGCCACACCCCGAGCTTTGCTGATCTAGTCCTGGGCACAGTTCCCTCCAGGGCAGAGGCACAGTGGAGAGCCTCCCCAGCCGTGCCCAGACCAGCCCAGAGAGCTGTAAGGCCGCCAGCTCCGTGCCTTGGCCTTGGCCGCTGCCACTCGCTCGGGTGCGCAGTGATCCTCCAGCCTGTAACCCTGCCCGTTACCCTTCGGTTCTTGCAGGCAGATGGGCAAATCTAGCCTTAACTTCCCGAGGATGGGGGTCTCCGGAGCTCAGCAGGGAAGTTTTGCAGAGCAGGGAGGGATGTTCAGGAACCTCGGGACCATCTTCAGAGCCCCCAGCACCCATAGTGCCGCCTGGGAGCCCTTTCTGGTCTCAACCCTGGGGACTGACGCGTTGCAGGGAGCATCTGGAGAGGGTGCCAGCGCGTTGCCGCTCTCCCCCTCTGCTCCTAGGTGATGGAAAACCCAAGCCTGGCCTCCACCCTGGGCAGGGCTCTCTGGACTCTCCTCCTGGCCACACTCAGCTCCACCACCGGCCAGTCTTTTGGGGGAGAGTCCGTCTGCATGGCCAGACCCCTGGCCAAATACAGCATAACCTTCACGGGCAAGTGGAGCCAGACGGCCTTCCCCAAGCAGTATCCGCTGTTCCGGCCCCCTGCGCAGTGGTCTTCGCTGCTGGGTAAGTGAAGCCCCTCCCTCACCCCCAGTTCAGGGCATGTTCAGCAGTGACCCTACTCCACCCAGGAGGCTGCAGCATGGGGACATTGTCATCCCAGCAGCTGCACAGCACTCCGCAGTTTGGAGGGCACTCACATCAAAGAGCCATCAATGCATGAAATACTTGCTAAGTGCCTACTGCATGCAGGTGAGTGATGTTCTGGGCTCTGGCGATGTGGTGAGGGCAGGGTGGCAGAGTCTGGGGAGGACTGGCTGGACACTGGTCATACCAGCAGGTATCTAGGCAGTGTGCAGCCACAGGATGTCATGGTCTGCATCTGCCAGGGATGGATGGGGTTCCCTGCCTTGCAGCCGAGGGAACTCAGGGAAGGAATGACATGGTGTCCACTCAGGGTGGCCAGCCGGGATCCAAGCCTGGGGCCCTGCTGCCTCTCACATTTGGCTGCTGACTCTGCCGGGTCGTCCCACAGGGGCTGCTCACAGCTCTGACTACAGCATGTGGAGGAAGAACGAGTATGTCAGCAATGGGCTGCGGGACTTTGCAGAGCGAGGGGAGGCCTGGGCCCTGATGAGGGAGATCGAGGCCGCTGGGGAGAAGCTCCAGAGCGTGCATGGAGTGTTCTCGGCCCCCGCTGTCCCCAGTGGCACCGGGCAGACCTCCACAGAGCTGGAGGTCCACTCCAGACACTCGCTGGTGAGTGCAGTCCAGCAGGGGTGGGCGGTCCCTGGGTGTGTGGCCTGGGCAAGTGGCTGAGCTGTGGCTGCACTCAGGTGTCCTTCGTGGTGCGCATAGTCCCCAGCCCTGACTGGTTTGTGGGCATCGACAGTCTGGACCTGTGCGAGGGAGGCCGCTGGAAGGAGCAGGTGGCCATGGACCTTTACCCACATGACGCCGGGACAGACAGCGGCTTCACCTTCTCCTCCCCCAACTTTGCAACCATCCCACAGGACACAGTAACTGAGGTGAGTGACTGACAGCCCCTGCCACCTTCTGTCACTTGTGCTGTGCCTGACACTGCCCACTCTGGGAAGACCAGAGCCAAGCGTCTCTGCCTGCCAGAGGTGGCTCTGCTTCTGGTGCCCAGCAGTGAGCAGGGCTGCAGTCCTGCCCCACCACAGGGAGGAGGCCATCATGGGGGGTCTTGACTTTTATTGCCTCAGTTTCCAAGCTCACACTTCTGGGGCTGCGTTAAGGTATGCATGTGTCCTTGCCTGGCACATGAGTGCAGTGCATGTGTCCCTGCCTGGCACACACCAGGCGGAGGGCATGGCCAGCCTACTCCTAGGGCTGTGCGGGTTTGTGTGTCACTCAGAGGAGCCCAGGTTGGGGGCTGTTTTCTGGCACCGCCCTCCTGGACATGGGGTACTGGCCCCAGTGGGGACAGCACACACGAGAAGGTGGGCTTCTCAGACCCCGGTGCCAAGCCCCTCTTCCTCCACCCCAGATAACGTCCTCCTCGCCCAGTCACCCGGCGAACTCCTTCTATTACCCAAGGCTGAAGTCCCTGCCTCCCATCGCCAGGGTGACCCTGGTGCGGCTCCGGCAGGGCCCCAGGGCCTTCATCCCCCCCGCCCCAGGCCTGGCCAGCAGGGACAACGAGATTGTTGACAGCCTCTCAGGTAACTGCCAAGCTTCCCACCCCACACTGCAGGGGCTAGCCCAGGACACTGGTGATGAGAAGGGGTAGGCCCAGGAGGCCTGCAAGGTGCCCCAAGCCCGCCACACTCATGACTCCTGGGGGCTTGGAAGGTGCCCCGAGCCCACCACACACATGACGCCAGGGCCCAAGGCACTTGGATTCAGAGGGAAACTTGAGGCACCTCTGGCCATGTCCTGTGGGGGAGAAGCCACGGCTCAGGATTCTGTGTCCTGCCCTGTGGGGCACATGTCCCTTGGGAGCACGGGGTGGGCCCCCAGCCCTGGCTCAGATGCCCCCCGTGGCAGCGCACACGGTGACCCTCCTCTGTGCCAGGCACTTTGCAGTGTGCAGGTGAGTCTTATCCTCAACACAGTCCCTCTGAGGAGAACGTTGCTGTGTGGGTCACAAGGACCCAAGTCTCTGAGCAACTTCAAATGGGGGGTTCATAGCATTCACTGCAAGATAATTGAAAAGATTTAGGGTGGTTGACTCAAACACTGAACTGAGGATTCAACTGCCACACTATTTGTAGTTGGAAGCATCTTACGTTACGACAGCCTAGAGGTGAATAATGAGAAGAGCCCAGAGTATTTGAGGGCAATGTCCCATCAGAAATGTGCCCACAGGTAACCTGTATGTCACAGCTGACAGGGACAGAGGTGAGGACGTTCACTAAAGCGGATCCTGTCTGTCCCCTCCCTGCAGAGAGAGAGAGGTTGTCGGCGGAGGCATCAGTGCCCACAGGGTGAAAGCCGTGCTGCAGGGGCTCCTGTTGGGGGGGTCTTGAACCCAATGCCACCACAGCCAGCTCAGGGTTCTGCTAATAGGCGCCTTGGCATAGGGGTACCCCAGAAGTACTATCTAGCAGTTACCACCACGGCTGAGTGATGGCCACCAGCTCCCAAGCAGCCACCAGCCGCTCCTGGAGTCTCCTGGGTCCTGGGACAGTGCTCCTTGGCACTGGGTCTCCCAGTCTCACCTGCTGCAGACACTGGAGGGGCAGGATGAGCTTCCTGTCTGCAGAGAGACCCCCAAGATGAGGGGACTTAATTCAAAAGGCCACACAAATGTTTCCTGTGGAAGAATTAGAGTTAACCAAAACCTGGCAGGCCAAGGAGACTTGCTAGCGATGGGCCCAGCTGTCTTCTGCCTTGCTGGCCGGAGTCCAGGGAGGCTCAGGGCCACCTCACACACCACCAGCCTCTCAGGTGGGCCTCAACTGGACTCCAGGGTCAGGTCGGGCAGGAGGCAGCAAGCTCCTCACGGCTGATGGGAACTGCACCCCAGGCCAAAGGCTGTGCCCAGCACAGGGTCCTTCCTCCTCGTCTGAGTCAGAGCTGGCCTCTCTGCAGGCCCTGGAGGGCAGTGCTGCCCCTGCCCAGCTCAGGCGGCATGTCCTTGCTCAACTGTCTGAGTGGATGCACCATTCCAGGTGGACGCGCACCAGTCTTTCATCCAATGGGCAAACACTTCTGAGCACCAGACATGTGCCACAGACAAGGCACAGTCTGGCGGGAAGAACCACTTGTGGGCAGATGGTCCAGAGAGGTGCGATCTGCCCTGTTCCAGGGGGCACCCAGCCATAGTGGGCAGGGGAGCATTTGGCCAGCACCTCAGCCAGCAGAATGATAAAGTCAGCTGTGGCCAAGCAGAAAGGGTGCTGCAGGGGAGGGTGTGGGGGACAGTGCCCTGAGCCCACCACACATATGACGCCAGGGTCCCCCCAAGTGGGGGACAGGATGTGGAGAGGAGAGGGCAGAAGGCACACAGAGCTGGCTGGGGACAATATGGTGAGAATATCAACCAAAGAGCTGGCACCAGCCTGGTAGGGTAGAGCCAAGCCCCTTCTCTACCCAGAACTCCGGATGTCTGAGGGGTACTACCTGACCACACATGCCCCTGTGCTCCATGTGCCCCAGGCACTCTGAGCTCCCTGCCTGCTCCGCTTCCCTGTGCCCTGGCAGCTCTCTCCCCAGCACCGCCACGCTCTCAACGCAGGGAAGGAGCCGGTGCTACTGCTCACGAGGGTCTCCACCGCCACACTGGGCCTGGCATGCGGTGGGGGCTTCCTGCTGACATGTGGGACACCCCTGCCCTCCACCTCCTCTCGGGGACCTGCCGGGCTTGGAGGTCGGCGTGTGAAGCGTGCTGTGGCCCCAGGACCCTGCGGCTGCTCACTGACTCCTCACCACAGCCAGGGAGCTAGGATGTGGCTTGGGGCCTCCCAGCTACCACGTGGCAGTGCGGGCTCAAGTGTCCCCTGCCAGGCTGGCTGCCCTCGCTTCTAGGGGTCCTTTCAGACCTACCCCACCTTGTTCCAGGCGCCCTGGCCCCTCCGCTGCCCTCTTCCTTCCTGAATTCCCCAAGCACCTGTGACTTGTTTGTATGAGTCTCGTTCTTCAGCTGCCACAGAGACGGTCACAGGAGCTGGCAGGGTCTGTGAGGAGAGTCCAGTGGAGCCACTGCCCTGTTGCTGACCAAAGACATCACTCTGTGCTCATGTGCACAGCACGGGCAAAATTGATGACGTTTAAATTGATGGAAACACATCGGACACAGGAAAACAAGAACGACAATACTGAAAATGAGCCTCACGGAGGGACAAGGTCCCACAACCAAACAGCTCAGCCTAGTGCCCAACACGTCTTCAGAAACGCATCTGTATTAGGATAAATGCAGCAGGCGGGGTCTCTTGTCAGAGCAGGGTCTGCGCAGGAACATCTTCCACTCTTCCTGGGGTCAGTTTCCCAAAGCCCAAGACACCAGATTGGGCAACGGATCCAGCTCTCGCTGCAGACCCACACGACTCGAGGCGTTGGTTGTTTGTAGGCGGTTGTATGTGGTAACCTCTGACCTGTGGCTTCCTCTGTGTTTGTGTCTCTTTGAGCCCCAGAGGGTGACAGTCCTTGCGGGAGTCCCCTCTGTTTTCACCAAGAGCCTCCTCCAAGGGTGTTCACATGTCACACATCGGTCTCTCTTGTGCTTGGTGCAGGTCCAGAGACGCCGCTGGACTGCGAGGTCTCCCTGTGGTCGTCCTGGGGGCTATGCGCAGGCCCCTGCGGGAAGCTGGGAGCCAAGACCAGAACTCGCTATGTCCGCGTGCAGCCTGCCAACAACGGGAACCCCTGCCCCGAGCTCGAAGAAGAGGCTGAGTGTGTCCCTGATAACTGTGTCTAAGACCAGAGCCCTGCCACCCCTGGGGCCCCCTTGAACCTTGGGGTGCTCCGGTCAGGGATGCAGGGGGGCTCCACGCAGGCTTGAGTGTGCAGGTGGCTGAGGACTCAGGAAGTGCCCTCTGGTGGCAGGGAAGGGAGGTCTGGGAACAGGCTCCTTGCTCCGTCTCTTCTCTTAGGGCACCCTACCCTGCGCACTCAGACTCCTCACGAGGCTCTGCTCCAAACTTGGTCCCATTGTAATTTATTGCTGCTCGGGGAGGCTGTCTTTTGTGCAGACAGCACCTGCACCAGTGCCCAGGTAATACGACCTCCCTGGTACAGGAGCTGGCACCCACATGGCTGTGAGATACCTCAGACCCGGCACCAGCATCCAAGCAGGGGCAACAGTGTGAGACGCAAACATAGTGGGCGCAGTTTCGGGAACCGCATTTGGCATTTTCATGTTACTGATCTCTTTGTGTTTGAATGAAGACTATCTGTTCCTGACAAATATCACCACTGTCCTTGAGCCTCTCTCTTTGGGCGGGCGTTAACAGGGGACACACATTCGATAGGCACCTCGCAATGCTGGGCAAGGGGGAATGGATGCGCCGTCCCCACAATGGGCCCCATTGAGCTTCATGGGTGTCAGGAGACACTGCATGCCATCAGGGCAATACAGGGGCAGCCAGCGCACCCCACAGTCCCAGTGTCCACAGTGAGGCCCCAGGAGCAAGCGAGAAGCTCAGAGCTCATAGCCAGGCGAACCCTTTGGTGCCCGAGGGAACAGCTCTGCCTTGCAGCCACTGAGACCCAGAGCCCTGCTGACCAGCCTACAGCAGATGCCTCCTGGGGACCTGAGCTTGGGCCAGTCCAGATGCTCCTAAGAGGCCCACTTTGATATGTGTGGCCCTTTGCAGAGGGCGAGGTCCTTAGAGTCCCAGCGACCAGCCTGGTCCAAGCAGTTTGAAAACAGATGTGCAGGGGATGGCTCTTCTCCCCAGGCCCCTCCCAACAACTCAGCTCCTCGCTCCAAGGGGACCCTGGCAAAGTACCCTTTCTCCTGAAGGCTAAGACCCTCCAGCCCCGATGATTCTAGAATCAGATCCCAGGCCCAGAATCCACCACCTGCATTCCCCCAGACCCTAAGCCCACCTCCCACCACCCTGCATCCATCCCCTCCCACTACCCTTGAAAACTCCTGAGCATAAGCCCAAGCTCACAAGTGTATGAGTTCTGAGGTTATGTGAAGATCTGAAAAACCTCTGATTAAAAATTTTCCTAACATTTTCTGGACAGGTGGTGCTGAGGCACATGGAAGAAAGCACCCTTAAACCTGCCTGCAGATCACACTGTGCTCTCAGGACTCATGGGGTTCCCCAGGACATGAACTAACCATCAGAACACTCCAAACATACGTAACACCAGCTCTGGTATCCCTAAATCTGCAGAGTTTGCAAATTACAAATCAGACTCACTGAGTCATTAAAGTTGGGGTGATTAGGCATGGGATTTGGGGGAGCAGGCTGATTGTGTTAACCCAACCAGGAGTGCAAAATCCAAAGTGTGCCAGAGCAACACACAGATAATGGATTCAAACCTGAACAGGTGGACTGAACACTCCAGTCAAATGACAAAGACTGTGAGACCAGATTCACAAGACCCTGTGCTATCACAGAGCCTGTAAAGTCCCTTAAGAACCCTAAAAGGTGGCCAGATGCAATGGCTCACACCTGAAATCCCAGCATTTTGGGAGTTTGAGGTGGGAGATTCTCTTGAGGCCAGGAATTCAAGACCAGCCTGGGCAACACAGTGAGACCCCATCTCTACAAAAATTACAAAATTACAAAAATTAGCTGGGCATGGTGGCATGTGCCTGTAGTCCCATCAACTTGCACATTGACATGGGGTGCCTTTGCAGAAGTCGCTAGGGCGCACATCTGGAGGACTGTCCCGTTATGTTAGGCACTGAGATTTGAGGGAGACAGATGGTGAAAGTAAACCAATGAAGGAATCTACCTCAGGAATCTAGCTGGTGCGCTGGAGGAGAGGGGACAGAATGCTATTGTACTCTTAGGAAGGTGGCTGGCACGCCCACTGACAAGCCCACATCTGAGCAGAGGGTGCACAGGACTCAGGGCTGTGGCCCCACACAGCCAGTCCCCTGCCCCAGACGCTCACCAGCAGATCTCACACGGCTTCCCCTTTGCCTCCTCCAGGACTCTAAACTCTGCATAGACACACCATCCACGACACCGTCCTTTTCATAAGATGTCGGGGAGGACTCCCTCCCCCCACTTGTAAAAATAAGCAAACAAAAACACTGAACTGAGGCTGGAACAAGGAGGAGCTGGGGTCAGGGCAAAGACAACGAGCTCAAGAACAGCTGACAGAGGCAGGGCTCCCGAGGGCTGCTGCGAGCGTGGGCCAGCAGCACAGGCAGAGGTGAGCCTGGTGCCCCACGCTGAGCAGGACCCTCAAGGTGGGAGGTGCCCCTTCTGATTGGGAAGTCCGGAAGCCATGTTCCCTACAGGAAGCTTCCCAACCACTAATGTGAACCGCAGCACCCCTCAACCGCCAACAATCAAAACCAAGCTATGAACACGACACCAAGATCAAATAAATAAGAAAACAAGTCACTATAATTGAAAGTCAGCAGGAAAAAAACCAAACAGATTCAGACATCCAAGATCACAGATCTTGTCAGAAACAATACAGAACAGGTAGAACAAAAATGACCAATAAACAAGGAACAATTATTAACAGAAACAGATAAATTCAGAAAGGAAAAACTATGAAATGACAAATCCTTAGTGGGTTACTTAAAGAGCTAATTAGCATAGCTGGAGACAGAACTAGTGAGCTGGAAGACATATCTGAAGATATCACCCAGAATGCAGCACAGAGAGATAAGAAGACAGAACATTTCAAAAAGATATGGAAGATAAAATGAAAAGTTCTAAGTGTTTTAAATCAGAGACTCTAAAGGAGATAATAGAATGGAGAAGAGATATCTTTAAAGAGAAAATAGTGCAAATTTACAGAACTGATTAAAATAAAAAGGTATCTTTGGAAATAGAAAACACAATATATATCCCAACAAGGAAAAATAAAAGTAATCCATGCCCATGCACAGCGTATTGAAACTGATAAACACTAAACACAAAGAGAAGACCCTCAAAGGACCCCGAGGAAAAGAACAGATTGCCTATAAAGGAACATGTATCGAATGATAGCAACTTCTAAACAGCAGCAAAGGGAGTCAGGACGCAGTTAGATAACATGTTTTTAATTTTGACTTTTTAATTTTTAATTTTGACAGAAACTAATTGTCAACCCAGAGTTATGAACTCAGCAACATCTGTCCAGAATGAAAGCAAAACAGACATTCTCAGATTAACAAGAGCTTAATACTGCACTGAGAAAACCTCCAAAGGATGTGCTTCAGGATGGAGTAAAATTATCCCAGAAGGATGATCTGAGATACAAGTAACAGTAATGCATTAAAAAAAAACTTTCAAATAACAAAAGCACAAATTCCCTAAGGATGGAGAAAAATAACGGCAAAATTTGAGATGCTGAAAATGACAACTGATTGACAGGTCTGAGGAAAACAAATCCTAACCTGGAAGTTTAGGTTTGCAAATTCAAAGAACTGATAATCTTTAAAAGCTCAAGGAATTGGCAGTTCCAAATACTAACATTTGTTACTAGATTTTACAATATCTTCGTATGATTTTGGTATAGGATAATGCTGGCCTCATAAAATGAATCCACGTGTTTCCTTCTCCTCTGAAAGACTTGTGAAAAACTGACATTAACTTTTCCTTAAATGTTTTATAGAATATTTCATAGAATTCACCAATGAGGCCATTGGCTCCACAGTTTTCTTTGTGGGAGGAGTTTTTATTTACCATTTGTGTACTAGATACATTGCTATTCAGATGTTCAATTTTTTCCTGTGAAAGTTTTGGTAATTTGTGCTTTCAAGTAATTTGTCAATTTCACCTAAATTGTCAAATTTACTGGCATAACTCATTCTGTCAAGAATGAGGGCAAAACGGACATTTCAGATTAATAAAAAGAGCTTAATATCAAGAGAACCGCATTGAATAATAAAATTCCTTTATTATCTTTTCATGTTTGTAGAATTTATAGTGATATCCCTTCTTTCATTCTGATATTGGCAATTTGTGTTTTTTCTCCTTTTTCCTGGATCAGTCCAGCTAAGACTTTATCAATTTTATTAATCTGTCAAAGAACCAGTTTTGGTTTGATTAGCTTTCCTTAGTGTTTACTCATTTTGTTTCAATGATTTCCACACTTTAATGTTACTCTTATAATTTCTTCCTTTACTCTTTAATATTTCCTTCCTTCTTCTTACTTTGGGTTTAATTTGTTTTTCTTTTTATTGTTTACTAGGGTGGAAGCTTAGGTCATGAATTTTAAACTTTTCTTCTTTTTTAATATAAGCACATAAAGGTATAAATTTCCCTTTAAAAATTGCTTTTGCTGCATACCACAAATACATTTTCACTGTAATTCAGTTAAAATACTTCCTATCTTTCCTGTGATTTATTTGATGCATAGTTTATATTAAAATGTGTTTAATTTCCAAATATTTGGCATTTTTTCATATGTTTTGTTATTGATTTCTATTTCAATTAAGTTATGACCAGGAATATATTCTGTATGATTTCAACACTTTTAAATTTATTGATACTTTTTTATAGCCCAGGATAAGGCCTATCCTGGCAAATATTCCATGTGCATTAGAAAAGATTGTGCATTTTGTCATGGCTGAGTACCCTGTTCCATTCATGTTAGTTGGGTCAAGATAGGTCACATTGGTTGACAGTGTTGTTCAGGTCTCCTCTGTCCTTACTAATTTTCCTTATTTCTTCTATTATTAACAGAAGAGTGTTGAAATTTCCCACTATAATTGTAGGTTTATCTCTTTCTCCTTCAGTTCTGGAAATTTTTGTTTCATGAATTTGTAAGTTTTATTTATAGGTACACACACATTTAAGATGATTCCC